CTTTCAATCATGTTACATACTAAAGTATAGTTCTCGTTGTACATTAGATTGAAAGCTCTAGTCATTACTGAATGTATGTTTCTTATTCCACTGATTGGCAGTATGCCAAAAAGAACATAGTTATGCCTAAGCAGAAATCTGCAATGAAAATCACTTTCATTTAATTAGTATTGACATATAAATGCACAAGAAATTTGATTATAAATACGGAATACAAAACCGTAGTCCAATGTTTTTTGATTTTTAATGAGCAACTAATACTGAAGAAGAAGGATGTATTTGTAAAATTCAAATAACTCAGCAATGCGTCATCATGACCTCTCACGCGGGATTCAAACCCAGGAACTCTCTGTCTCGTGCATGAACACTTTATCTGTAGACCGCTCAACTGATCAGCACCCTGCGGTGTATATGTCCAACTTCAAGCAATCGACGAAATTACTCCACTGTCCAATGATTGCAGGTTCTCCATTATCGACTAGCTTTAATTAACTCACCAATTCAACTATTGAATTACTCGAATTTTCACAAATCCCTCCTCTTTCTCAATAGTTTCTTAATGCGGATGTATATTTTTTTTCTAATGAAATAAATGAAGTTCTTTTACTTCAACTGAATCCACTTGAAAGTCTATATTGATTACAGCAATATTTCACTTCAATACTAGAACTGATCATCACTGTAGTTCTCTATTGCTTTCACTCACATACAGAAGTCTATTCATTAATAATCATAATAATATATTGATAGATATCACAATTGAATTATGTTTTCAGGTTAGCGGTTTTTTTCTAAGCGAATAAGTTTTCTACAGGATGTGGTCGCAAATCTCATGCCCAACAAAGAAATAAAAAAACTGAAGGTCATTTTAAAGAAATATCTAGTAAAGAGAAACAAGAAGGTATTGTTTGTTTGAATGTTTCTATGGATGAGAGATTTAGTAGTTGGGTGGTGTATGGTATTGGTTTGAGTCGTGAAGTGATAGATGAACACTGGAATGTAGATCTATCTAGTTGATGAGTCTTAAATAGGACGAAACCTGTATCCTGGATTTCATTACTAGTCACTTACTATCTTTGTTTAGAATGCTTGTGAATTAGGGTGATATCGAGGCAATCCGTATAGGATGCACATATGTTAATAAGAGATTGATAAATTGCAGTCCTTAACAACAATGAAAAGATTGAAGTAAAATAATACCAAGTGAAATCAAACTTTTTCTCATTGCATAAGCATGTGATAGATGAACACTGGAATGTAGATGTATCTAGTTGATGAGCCTGTGTTGTGGATTTCATTACTAGTCACTTACAATATGTTCTTAGAATGCCTATATACTTGTTTAGGCTAATGTCCTTTATATCTGACTCCAATAAATAATACCCCGTTAACTGAGTATTTAAGGTAGGCTTAATCTCCTAGTAGAATTACGGATTTACTCGAGATTATTGAGAAGCCTGAACACCAGTTTTAGAGATAATTTATTGTTAATGATTAATAAAAATCCGAAAGCTAAAGCGAGCAAGCACACGATGAAACAGAGTGAGTGAGTGTGTGTGTATGTGTGTATTAAACATTCATATATATTGTGAGTGGCCCTGAAAAAGGCCTTTCCTCGTTCTCTTAACAGTTCCGAGTTTCATGAACAAAGGCGTTGCTATTATTCCATTATAGCTCCCTACATGGGACAGTGGATTCCATGGACGTGTGGTGATGGGTCGTAGACACAAAATAAATGGACAAAAATCCAGGTACTTCCATCAACAGTTTCATGTGGCGGTTGCGCAAGATTGCAAATATCAGAAAGTCTGTTGTCATATGCGTTTTCGTCATTGTCGTCATCTCGTTCAGTGAACTCCTCTGAGTTCATTGAAACAATTTCTTCCTCGTCATTGCTTAACGTTGCATCCATATTGACGTTATTTTGATAGTTGTTAACTTACAAAAGATGAAGGAAGGACATTGAGTGTTCACGGTAGTCCTTAATCAAAAATTATAATAACACTAATCAAATTATCTCGTTCCACTACTCGACTGTACGGAACCGCTAGGTGTTCTACGGCCATTTCTCCAACATACGAATTGAATATACGATTTCCGATCTCTATGTAAATGAGAATCCCTCACCACATAATGGCAGTACGTGACTCTTCCATACGTTCTAATGGCGCTCTTCAAAGCTTCAAGAGATTGGAACGCTACGAGATAAAATGTGCTCAAAAACGAACAGGTTATCGGTTTCTGTGACAACATGAGGAACGAGGGAGCTAGTGCTCTGCATGATACTACCGTCCATAAAAATTGTAAGAAAATGTGATTTCTCGTCAAGTCCTCATATTTTATATCGATTATAAGAAACAAAACGAGGAATTATAAAGAAAAAAACTACTTATTTGATTTGACGACACAGAATGAAAATTATTGAAAGATGGGGATGAAAAATTTCTTTAAAAGGGATGAAAAAAAATTTAACTCGAAAAAAATACAAAAATGGCCGTGAAGTGAAAGTTTACCTTGGTTATTGATCAGTGGGAGTTGATTGATTGTAATTGAAGTGAAGTGAAGCGAAGTGAGTGATTTAGCTGTGAGGTTAGGTGGGTTGATGTGAGGTGAGTGATACACATGAGATGGATATTTGGGAAAAAGGCCATCCGAAAGCAGCGGATGTTTCATGCCTCAGGAGAGTGGGCATCACATGCCCTGTCCGACCTTGTGCAGGGACTGCCAACCATCTCTCCTTTTCTGATGCACGATTCGTAGTCGACAACACTAACACACCTCACAACAACACGCTTCACACTCACATCTGCAACAGCTTTGCACGTCTCAACGCAATCTTCTTCATACATCAACAAACACACCACACACTCTTCTACACATAATCTACACTACGCTCCACACTCAACAACACTACTGCACAAACTCAACAATTCACCATCACCTCATCAGTAGTATATTCAGTTTACACAACGAATTCCCGATCATGCACTCCACTAAACAACAAACTACTGTCGAGCGTTTCAGTAGCACAGTGAAGTCAACTAAATATCGTCGGTTTGTGTTGTGTCGCATTGCATTGCCTTGCATTTCATTGCATTGCATTCCGTTGCATTGCGTTGCGTTGCGTTGCGTTGAGTTCCATTGCATCACATCCAATCGGGTTGCGTTGTGCTGCACCATTTCCTGGTCTCATATTCCACTCACATACGTGATAGTCACAACTTGACAACTTGACGTCAGCAGCACATCTAAACACTTTTCACTAGTTGCATTACAGAGCAACAACACCAGATATTTGTGCAGGCGAATACAAACCCCAATCAGTCCACTCGGTTGACTGCGAATTTCATAAGTAGGACAAAATGGATAGAAGTGGTTTAATTTGTTGGTGTTAAGAAATTCTGTGATTTCAATTGACATTGATCAATCAGTGGTTGACCTGACTTGATTTATGCCTAATACTATGTGGATAGTGGATGCAGTAACAACGAGTTATATTCCACTGATCCTGTTTATCTGTTTGTTTGTTTGTTTGTTTGTTTGTTTGTTTGTGATTGATTGATTGATTGATTGATTGATTGATACACACGACAGTGTTCTCACATTTTCTTCCCCTCTTCTCTCCTCCACATTCTCATGTCGATCGTTAGCGTCGTTGGCGTCGTACTCACGCACACGTTTCTCCACTCTCCCACCTTCTTAACATCAATGCACTCGGAAACTAGACGAACAGCGATTCACAGAATATACAAATTGTGTATGTGTGTGTGCATGTGTAGATTTCGAGTGTATTCAGTGATTATTTTGAGAAACATGCCAACCTCAGTAAAGATTGTGAATGATTAATGGTGTTGTGTGTGCGTATGATGGAGTTAGTGAATGATTGGTTGAGTGGGTTGGTGGTTGAGTTGTATTTTTCGAATTGTACTCTCGTTGCAAGACTGCTGAATTCCTTCGTGATAGGTGTGGCACACAAACTAACAAAATCACTACAATCAATCCTATGCAATTCAAAGAATGATATAACAAAGGTAAACAAATCAAACCTCATCTACAATATAAATTTTACCACGTGCGACAAGCACTACATCGGACAAAGTGGACGCCCCCTCCACGTACGCCTACATGAACTTCAATTAGCAGTCAAACGCCCTGATATCTCTTCACTTATATAATTACACGTGGATAATTACGGACACTCATTCGATTGGGACAATGTAGAAATCTTAGATAGAGGAAACTCCAAAAACACCCGAAAATTTTCAGAAGCCTGGTATTCAGGTCAGTCAGCAATAAACAAACGTATTGAAATCAATCCAATTTATCAATCAATCAGGAAAATCATGCACAAATATAGGAACAAAAATCAAACCAATGGGAGACACAACCAAAAGAAAAAGAAGCAAACAATGATAAATTTAAGGTCAACAAGAACCAATCAACATCGAGGTGCACAGAACAAGCTAAGAAAGACATATGGAGAAATTCGAACACTTCACTTCTATCTGAAGTTTGTGCTGATGATGTCGTTCAGAAGGACGATGAAAGCTCCACGACCAAACCATCAAGCTCAGAGCAAAAATCTCCACCAAAATCGATGACAATGACGTAGTTGTATGTACTCTTTGTCTTCTTATCACGACTGTCTTAACCACTCTTATGAATTCGGTGTCTATCTTGAGGTGCTAATGCGGTATGGCAACTTGGACAGATGCTTATATGTGCCTGGTCCTACGTTGTAACTGACTAACTGACTGACTATGCAGTGATCATTTTCATTTCAGATCAAGACAATAAATGGTAAAAGAGATGTTATTTAGTTAAAATACGATAATAATAATTGTAATCATAAATTTCATATAACACAAATATACAAAATTATATAAGTAGTTTATAAGTAGTATAAATTCATAGGAATGATAATACTGTTTATATCGTTTTCTTTCTTTTTTCTTTCTCTCCCTTTTTGTTCGTTTGATTTATTAAATCAATTAAAAAAATTAATAAGCAAGTAAATTGTTATTTTTAGATAATTTTAAAAGATCTTTTGTTACTACTGATAAAGAAACTGTAAGTAGTACTGGTGATTCATGTGAAGAAGAAGATGGTGTTGAACTATTATTCACTGTCATCCATGTTAAAGTTGATGTTGATGATGATGATGGATAGGAAGGTAAAGAACGATTGACTAAACTAAAAATAAATTTATAACAACCGAATTGTATCATTGAACCATGTCTTAAAATAGCAGAACCTTCCCAACCAGTGATTAAATTGAATGTTGAATCTGTTTTATCTACTAGAAATTTATCATTTTGAGTAAAATGTAAACTTGTACAATCACATATAGATGTCATATGTGATAAATCCTGGTAAGGTATATAAAAGAAAAAGAAAAAAGGGAATAGGTATAAATGAGGATAATAATAATGATTGAGAATGAGAAGAGTCAGTTCTCCTTCTTGAAATGATCTGACAGGGGAATCCCTCTTTAACTACATTGTATGTATGTAGGTATGTATGTTTGTACGCATGTGTGTGTATCTATGTAGGTATGTAAGTATGTGACGATTACATAACTTTGTCCCGTTTTCTAATATTTGAACTCACTATTATCATCATCATATTCATTTAACTCTTATTTAGTCGAAATATTCCCATATTGTAAATTTACAACAACATAGATATATAAGCGAACAATATTGTTTTCGATTAGATCTTCAACAGGCTTTACTTCTAATATACAGTAATATTTATATGCATATACCAAATTATTAAACTAATCAAGGTAGTTTATAAGTCAATGATCACAATGGAATAGATTACATAATAAGTAAAATGTGAAAAGTACAAATGGATGGTGTGACAACAGATGCATTCGTTTTTGATAAGCAATAATAATAAAGGGTCAAATCAATGTTACATAATCTGAAATAGGTCAATGATTAGGAGAAAATATAGACAGTGAGATAACAATTATGAAGATTATAAGATGACGTAATAAGAAACGGTCAGATAATTGGACCATGAAACGTATAGTTGAGAGAAAAAAAAAGTGGTAGGAGGGTGTGAAGAAAAATAATAAACGAAGAGAAAGTTAGGAAAAACAGGATAAATAAATAAATAAATTCATTTATCACTTAAGGCCAGGGGAGAGATAAGGGTATTACAAATTTCTTCTGAACACAAAGACTTGACTTGTTGGCTCGGATTCCTATAGCTTCTGCTATGTGTAAGAGACGAGATCGAATACCATAAGGGAAACTAGTGGGAATCCGATAAATAACTTTGAATGACTTGTTTCTGTCCACTATATGACCGCTATCGATCAAGTGTGATAGAACCGAGCTGCGTATTGTTTTGACGTAACCTTTTCTTAACCACGAAGGGAGGTGTTCACTAACTCGTTGGTTCAGTTGCCTGGTAGTGCGCACAATATAGCTTTCTCCACAGGAGCAGCTGAATTCGTAGATACACATAGAAGTGGCATAACCAGGTAACTTGTCCTTCAATTGCGGAATCACCATCGATCGGGTCGAATACGATAGGCAGAGAATGGCAGCACGTTTTTTGCTGTCATAATTTGGATTAATTATCTTCGCATAACGCGTAGATATTAATTTTCTTATTGATGATGAAAATAAAGAAAAAAAAAGTAAAAAAGAAATCAATATAATCAATGACGTTTTTCTTTTGAAATTCTTTTTTTTAATTTTTGAATAGACAGAGAAACGAAAGAAGGTGGCTGTCATTTTAAAGAAATATCTAATAAGGAGAAACAAGAAGGTATTGTTTGTTTGAATGTTTCTATGGATGAGAGATTTAGTAGTTGAGTAGGTGAATGATATTGGTTTGAGTCGTGAAGTAATAGATGAACACTGGAATGCAGATCTATGTAGTTGATGAGTCTTAAATAGGACGAAGCCTGTGTCCTGGATTTCATTACTAGTCACTTACTATCTTTGTTTAGAATGCTTGTGAATTAGGGTGATATCGAGGCAATCCGTATAGGATGCACATATGTTAATAAGAGATTGATAAATTGCAGTCCTTAACAACAATGAGAAGATTGAAGTAAAAATGTGCCAGGTGAATTGACACTTATCCCAATTGCACAAGCATGTGGCTTTCAGCACTCAGCAGCTAAGTGGATACCGCGAACGGTACTGCGTTCGAGTTCCATAGTGAACACCAACTCTGAGATTCATTACATCCAACTGACGAGTTCCGAATAGGACGAAACACGCGTCAAACTGGATTCCTCTACTAGCCATACATTGACCTTGTTATTTATTCGCTTATCAATCTAGACTGTTTTTATGTGAGCGTATATGTGTGTGCCCTTCTTATCCCATTAATCACATGTCTGTAGCTTTATTTTGTCTGCCTATAAATATTGAGTAACGCTTAATTAAAATGGAGTTGGCTTCCCAGCCATCTTCCATACGTGTCATTTTTGCTTTGCTGTGCTTCATTTGCTTCATGTACGAAATATATGTATTCTCAAGTCAATTCTCGTTATTCGACTTGTTTAATTCCGTTATTGGATAACGTGATTTAAGTCGACGATGATATACGAGAATAGGCGATAGCAAACATTCGCACGATCTAAATAGGAGTCAGATCAACGGGCCACCTCATTGGTAAGCCCGCCGACGACGAACGCAACGCAGCAAGCTACGTCGACGAAGTAACTTCTGCACTCTATACGTTCGACGAACAAATTCAGCGAAGCCAGCGCAATATCCAATCCGATGCAATCAGCAAAGCCTGTGCATCATGGTATGGACATGCTCAAGTCGTATTATCTTATCGATACTGTGTACTCATGTCAACCATTCTCATTGATCCATTCGTCGGTTTGTTTAATTACTATTCAAATTATCATTATATGCTTATTATTACATTATTGCCAATATCATGACCGAATGTGAAATTATAATTCTTGTTCGTGCCGTCATTAAATTGTGGCATTTTCGCAATCATATCACTTACCGAACAAATTATCATTTTATGAAAATTCCACTCCACTTTGTGAGAACTCATTGGAATATTTTTACTATTCAAAAACGTGAAATTTTCCTGCTTCAAGTGAGTTCGTTCCAATTTTTTCCATGTCATTTTGACCTAATATTGCATTCATTCACTTAGTCGAGGTCAGCAATTCATGTTGTCGTAACATACATTTTTCATTTTGAAATCGCCTACTATTATGTCTGTGGATGCTTCTGACTAGCTGATTAGTAACCATTACGCTCATTTTATCTATTCTTCCACGTGCATAACTACATGGTGCATCATTTATCACTCAAAAACGATATTCAGGTACTGCAACTACTATCCTATACCCATCGCACTGTATATCAGAACATAGAGTTTAGAGCTTCTCTCTCAAAGATACACTCTTGTTCGTCACATCCAAGTCAGTCTCATACGTCGCCATCGCTAACCATATGTATTGGTATTTTTGTCATGCCTTAGTACGGTTTTGAAACGAACGAGATCGAGCGCATCTCCCTCAAACCGCAAAAACCACTCTGGGCTTCATGACCAAAAAGGAATACGCCTCTACGTACCTCGTCTACTCAGTCACTGTTCTGTTCCTCAGGTCAGTCTACTAATACATATTCAACGATAACTCGGTGCATCTGTCATAACGCAGACGACAACGTCCACTGACTTCATATTTTATGATTATTATCAATTGCAGTACAGCAACGAATATCACCCGTCGATTTAGTCATCATTTCACGACTTGACTGTTATTATCCTACGAACGGGAACTCAACGTATTTAAATCCGAATTCACTCATCGCTAGTCGATGCTATTTATTCTACTCCGGCTCATCAGAACATATATTTAACATATTTCACTATTCTGTCGGCATCACAGACCAATTTCTGTCGCATCCTACTCTACTTATCTTCATGATTTGTTTCCCTGTCATACTGACAAACAATTTATTATTATTTTCACGATATTTTGAATCACTGATACAAACGTGTTATTTTATTGTTCAGTCAGTCATAGAATTAGTAGATGTTAATTTTTAGTACGCTCAATAATTTGCTCATATTCTCAGGCTAACGTTTCCATTTTTGTCTGCGTCTTTGCGATATCCCGTATTCTTCACATATAATACACTCACCCCTCATGTGACACTGTACTTATCGAGTGTTATATATATTTTTTCGCTACTTGCTGTTAACGTTAACATCATATCACTTCAGTGTTTTCGAAAACAGACATTTTTTAAATGTGCTATTTTCTACAGGGTGGCTATGCAGTGTCAGTTATTACGCCAAGCCCATATATCTTATTCGAGCTTTCGGACATCCCATTGTATTCATTTTACATGAGCCATACATTGACCTTGTTATTTATTCGCTTATCAATCTAGACTGTTTTTATATGAGCGTATATGTGTGTGCCCTTCTTATCCCATTAATCACATGTCTGTAGCTTTATTTTGTCTGCCTATAAATATTGAGTAACGCTTAATTAAAATGGAGTTGGCTTCCCAGCCATCCTCCCTGTGCGTTATTTTGCTTGGCTCTGTTTCATTCACTTCATATACAAAATATATGTATTCACAAATCAATTCTCGTTATTCGACTTATTTAATTCGACTATTATATCCGAGAATAGGCGATGCCAATCTTCCATACAATCAAAAATGGAGTCAGATCAAACGGGCCACAAAAGTATCACACACCATAGTATTATCAGAGTAGAGGAATTCCGTAGAATATGAAGGGGTAGTAAAATCAGTTTGTTAGACCTTTAAATAAAAAAGAGGTATCAATATATTGTCTATTAGTTTAAAAGCATTTCAAAACTATACACAATAATCAATCATTCGTCAAAGATCTTTATAGTTAGACCACCATTGAAAATCTGAAATTCATCATTAATGCGCATCGACGATCCTGCACGTGGGATTACAAACCAGGATCTTTGATTTCGTGAGTGAACACTTAACTTATGAATAACTGAGCTGGTCAGAATCAGACGGTGTTAGTGTGTGACTACAATCAATCCATGAAATTGCGCTACTGTCCACCATCTACAGGAAATTAATACCACTTAGTCATAATACTCTTAATTGTGAACGTTGCACTACTTACAAGTTGTTAGTAGTTTATTTATTGTAATCAAAGATGAGTATTGATTCACGTAAATCCAAGCGTCTGAATACATTTCAATATGATGTGGGTTTGATTCGACTTAAAGCTGGGAATAATCCAATGAATTCAACATCAACTTTCATCTGATACCAAGTAATTTCAATAATGCTTGTCATCCATTATCAAGTAACACAGTTGAAATGGAACTGAATTTATAGATCTGATTAGT